CCAACACCACCACAATGGCCAAGTCCGTTTCGATGACAACAAAATGCTGGAAACCGAATCGAGAAAATCGAATGGACAGACCTCTATCTGTGGGAAATTCAGGTGGTAAAGTTCCAAAGTTGCTCCGTACCCCATCAACAGACCAACTGAACAGTTTGAATAGCGAAATCAAATTGACTGGGACCGGTCCCCGTGAACAAAGCGGAGGAATTCGGGAGGAATTCGACGACGACGATGACGAGGTGGAAGAAGATGAACCGGATAACGAACTGGACGAGGAAGATGAAGGAGGATCGATGAAAAACGGGCAGTCTGTGGAATGTGTTGTGTGTGGGGATAAGAGTAGCGGAAAACATTACGGACAACATACGTGTGAAGGATGTAAGAGTTTTTTCAAACGTTCCGTTCGCAGAAAGTTGACCTACACTTGTCGCGGGAATCGTCAGTGTCCAATTGATATACATCATCGAAATCAGTGTCAGTATTGTCGATTTCAAAAATGTGTGAAAGCTGGAATGCGTAAAGAAGGTGAGTTTCATGGTTTCCATTGGACAATCCAGTTCCAATCCAGAGCGCAATTCACCTTTAGGCGTGGATATTAAGTTTTATGGTATTATTATTATTATTATTATTATTATTATTATTATTATCATTTGTGGCAGACGTAGCCCGAATCCGGCGTGTCATTAAGTGTTGACCGCACGGCTTTTTCGTTTGTGAAACTAAACGGGTATGACTAGAGAGAGAGAGAAGAATAGACACAATCTGTTTTTGACCTGTGTTCGAAATTCACCGCGGTTGCACCACCACCACCGCCAACAACAACAACAACAACAACAACAAAGCGGACTGAGCATTCGGTCCTTTTTGACCAACAGGTGAATACAGGTGTTCTAAGCTCCTTAATCTATACGATTAACCTTATGATGCTCAGCTTGTATCCTCGAAACTGGTGTTGCTCACTTAAGATGTACTTTTGCGCAAAGTTTTTCACCAGTTTATTGAAATGGGTGCATTTAATCAAATAGATAAATGCAGTAGGAAAAATTCGGTCGCAGTGGTAAATTTCAATCACTCGATTATTGCTGTTTTTGTTTCGGTTTGACGGATTCAGTCGGATTTAAGTTGGACCACGAATATCACCACCAA